AGAGGCTTAAGTGGAGAGCAAATGTTTTGAGAATGAGGAGGGCAATGAATGTACAAATCTGCTTTATACAATTGATGTGCGTATGGATTGTGATAAGAGTTGTATGAGCCCCTAATAAAATTATTTTTAAAAAAGGAAAAGGCAACAGACCTCAAAATATAGTATAATCAATACAATTTGACCACTGAAAACAAAACAAAAGAACTGGAAACACAAGGAATCCAGGACAGATAAACCCCTCAGGACTAATAATGAGAGTTGCGATACCAGGAGGGGCAGGGGAAGGTGGGAGGAGAAAGGGGGAACCAATCACAATGATCTACATATACACCCTCCTTGAGGGATGGGCAACAGAAAAGTGAGTAAAGGGAGACATCGGTCAGTGTAAGACATGAAAAAATAATAGTTTCTAAGTTATCAAGAGTTCATGAGGGAGGGAGGGAGCAAAATGAGGAACTGATACCAAGGGCTCAAGTAGAAACTTTTGAGAACGATGAGGGCAACAAATGTACAAATGTGCTTGACCCAATGGATGGATGTATAGCTTGTGATAAGAGTTGTATGAACCCTCAATAAAATGATTTTTTTTTAAAAAGCTCAGGAGCAGCTATCTAAGGGGCAATGATTGTTTGTCTCTCCCCACCCAGAAGAAAGAAGGGTGAAGAAATTGACAGACACGTGGAAACAGTGCAATGGACTAAACGAGTGCACAACTCCAGCTCCCCAAGCCCGAGACGAGTACTAGATGGTGCCAACTTCTCTGAAAAGAACCATGTTAGAAGGGCCTGAGAACAGAGTGGGAGAAAAAAATAAGCTAATAATAATAAGCTAGTCATAAACAACAGCATGGCCAGTAGCAATGGGCTAGAGCAACATTCTGCTCCGTTGTGCCTGGGGCTGCCAGCAGTCGAGAGGCACTTTGACAGCAATTAGCCACAATGGGTACAGTGTGGGAGACCCAAGTTTGACTGTGTTCTGTGCCTGAACCAACTAGCTCCCGTTTGCCTGGGTTAACACATGCGCACAACTGCGATCATGATGTCCTCCTTACAGAACTGTTGCCAATGTCAAGTGAAATAAGGCCCACAGAGAACTCGGGACAAGGTCAGGCACGTAGTAAAAATAAGCAAGGCTCTACATGCACTGTTTTAGTTAGATTATTACATGAGATGGAGGCAGCGAACGGTTAAGTCACGTCTCCAACGTCACTTGCTAGGAGGCAGGGAATTCAGGTTGCCAGTCCAGGATGCCTGGCCCCACTGTCTGTGCCCTGGCACCACCCTGGCTTGCCTCAGTAAGTGTCAGTGTGGCTGTTTTTTGTTATGGTTGCCATTGTTATTGGTGTCCTTTCTGGTGACTGCACTGGAAACTAATAGAGGAGCATGAATCATACCAACTTCTTTCTTTCCAGGGTGGCTGGAGAAGCTGAGCCATTTCCATCAACAACTTTGTGCTTGTTGCCAGAGTTGCCAAATTCTAGTCTAGGTGAAGGAAAACTAGACTGAGAGAGGAATTAGCCCGAGGGAGACTGCCCTCTCTTAATGCTAGCAAGCAGAGCAGGCCTGCCAAGGGGAAGCCTTTTGTTGGGAATTACGACCTGGAGTGGGAAAAGAAGTTCCATGGGAAATTAGAGGACTGATCCCCAAAGCATCAGAAGGGGAGAGGTCCCAGGAAGCACCCACTTGTAGCAGAAGTTTGCGTTGTGCTTGTAGAAGCGACAGAGGTTTCCATCATCCGGGGGCGTGGCACAGAAGAAGATGGTTGGTGACAGATTGTACCGGCCAATCTTGCAGAATTCATCCGTTTCTCGGGGAGCGCCAGGCTCGATAGCAACCCGGTCACCTGGAGAAGAAAACAAACACGATGTCATGTCCACGTGGGGACGCAGTGTCTGCTGAAAGGCCATACCCCCCTTCATCCTATTCCTGTTTTTCTTCCAGCTGGAAAAGCAAGCGCGGAGGAGACACTGGGAAAGGATGCATGCTCCTGGGCAGGTGCCAGATGGGAAGTCTGCTTCCATGAGCCACCCTCCTCTTTGGGGGCTCAGGGTGCTCCAGACAAGCCCAGCCCTTTAGAGCTTCCAAAGGAAATCTAGGATACAGCACGGGCTCATACTCTGAGGGAAACTGACCAGCCCACTCTCTACCAACCTGCTTGGCCTGTTCTTTGATTGACCTGTACAATAAGTCAAGCTGCCGCTT